CACTCTGACAGCCCTGGACAGAGGCCAGAGCCATCTCTGCTGCACCCTGGAGACAACCCACATGGCCTTCAGCCTCTGAAGTTTTAGGTCTGCTTTCTCTCTCCTCTCCTCCCACCCCCCCAAAACACAATAGATGCAAATTAATTTTAATAAACAGTCCTCTATAGCTTTTATGTAAGCAAAGACTAAAAAATAAAATGTGAATTCACAGATAATTGGTTAAACAAGTCACAGTGCCCCCACGTAGCTCTTCAAAATGAGGAGGTAAGCCAGGTACATCACAACCCTAACTCTGGAGAAGGAAGCAGGAGGATCAAAAGTTCAAGGCCATCCTCTGCTACATATGGAGTTTCAGACAAGTCTGAGCTATGTGAGAACTTAAAAAAGAAGAAGAAATAAAAACAAAACAAAGTAAAAGAAAAAAGAAAGAAGCCTCCTCCACCCCCCCATCCACACACCACAGATTGACACAGAATGAATGTAGAGACTGTTTCCCCATGGTGCAGTAAAATGTTCTCTGTACTCCTGAATATCTGGATCTTTGCCCTGTGCACAGGAGCAAATAACGTTCAGAAATAACTATTAGACTCCAACAAGCCTATTCTCTTCTTCCCATGCAATTCAGGGCATCTTAGAATCAGGTTGTGGGGAGGGGCTGGAAAGGAACACAGGCCCCTCCCCATCCCAACAGGGTTGCCTTTTACCACGGATCTCTGAAACTCCCTGACATGCCACTGACATGACATGGGGTACACCAAGTTACCTCCCCAGAGCACAGTGCTTTCTAACCTGACTCAGCACACACAGGAAGGGCCACTCTGTCTTCGGCAGAACTCCACCTTCATCAAGACCTGTGCATATGGCATGGAGAACCACTGGCCACTCTTGGGATTGACTTAAATGGCTTATGTGTGTAATGAGAACAGGCCATCGATGAAGTTGAACTAAATAACTACATGAAATTCTTAAGCTGTAAGAACATTCTAGAAAAAAACAGTATGGGTAAGAAGTCTCGTTTGCTAAATCTAGACAAGAAAAACTCTTTGAGGGACGGGAAACAACACAGCTAGCTGGCGGTGCTCTGAGTTAAGACCCTGAGCCCACCAGGGAGCTGCTAAATCTGGAGTCAGGAGCATCCCCGGCGGGACACCCAGGTAAATGCACAGGGGCAAGCTGAATGCAGCTGAGTCACTCTGGGGCCAGATAGTATAGGCTGGCTATGTCAGGTGTTCCTGAGCTGGTCAGCCCTTGGGGACAGGGACAAAGCCCCAGCCAGCATTCAAAGGCACATTCGGTAATTTAGAAGCAGTCCAGAGTGAAGGACTGAAATCGCTCTGAATTGCAGCTCATTTGGTTGGAAGTGCAGTGAACTTAATCCTCAGATGCCTGCTGGCTAGGGATCCTGTGCTAAGCTCTGACCCACTGAGCCAGCATTTTCTCTATTTGTCCCCACTCAAAGTCTCACCACTCAAAGTGCCATAAAACAACAGACTGGATGGAAAGACTGCTGTAGGACTCTGGCTCTTTCTGGTTTTCAACTTCCAAGCAGAGACAGCTTAGTGCATGCTTTGGGGCATCCAGGCACTTCTACAAGTCTCAGCATTTCCCTAGAGCATGTCCACCTAGGAGAGACACTTGAGGAAGGACTCTTAAGAGCCAGCAGTCCACAGAGAGATGTCTGCACAGCATGCCTGAGACTGCCCAGACAGGCCTGCTCTCCTTCTAAGAGAGAATGACTAGAATGACTTTAGGTACAGAGTGGATACTCCGGCCTTCTGGGCTCAGTATTTCCCAGGAGAAATGCCTTAGCAAATAGATGATTCACATGAATTTGGTACAAGCTGCTGTAGGAATCACAAGCTCAGGGGAGCCAAGTGACAAAGAAAAGCAGTATTCTGACCTATCACCTTCTAGAAGTTTCCAATCTCCTCCTGCCCCTCCCCCCCCACACATACCAGCAGTTGGGCAGGTTGAGTGTGATGCTGGCCTTAATAGCAGCTCCAAATTGCAGGTATCCCAGGCTCCCCAGGCTGATATAGAGTACAGTGACAATAGTCATCCCCAAATACAGGATACATGGAAACTTCTGTGAGTTCTTCATTTTGTTCTCAAGGGGTAGAACCTATAAAAAGGGTTAAGGGGAAAGAAAGCACATGAGAAAGAAAAGTGGACATACCACAAAAGTAGCACTATCAGCGGACAGGGGGGACTTGCTTTGCATGCATGAGAACCTGAGTTCAGATGCTCAGAACCCACAAAAAAGCCAGCTGTGGTGGAATGAATCTGTAACCACAGTACCTGGCAGAGGTAGGGAGGGGTGGGAGGACAGGCTGATCAATGGACCTCACTGACCACACAACAGTCTAGTTGAAGCAGAAAATTCTAGGTTCAGTGATAAACATCGTGTCCAAAAACGAACAGTGCCAGAGAGAGACATTTGATGTTGACTTCTAGCCTCCAAACACAAAAGAGCACAAACATGCACACACACACACACACACACACACACAAGCACACATTTGCATGCACTCATGAACACATGCACATAAACACACACACAAAGTATCTTAATAGAATCTTTCTTGCCAGATCCCCAAGTATATTCTCCTTTAGTGCACAGTGAAATCATTACTCTATCAGCAGCTATACTCTCAGGCATACAAAGGGCTTCAGAACCCACTGTCTAACCAGGAGTGATAACATGAAAAGTCAGAGGCTGGGGCTGCCCTTTATCTCACAGCAGTGTGGTCCCCAGCTAGACTCTGACACTAGTCTTGAGACTGCAGCCTACAGATTTTTTTCTAAGCATTAGCTTCCCTTCTTTAATTTTTTTGTGGGGGGAGGGGAAGGGTCTCCTGTACCTAGGCTGGCCTCCAACTAGCTATGTAGCCAGTGATGCCCTAAATTCCTGATCCTCCCTGCCCCCATCTCCCAAGTGCTGTGATAATGGGCATGTGCTCAAGAGATAATTTCCGACGGGGTTTCCTATGCACTAAAGCAGACAGTGGGGACACTGTGGTGCCAGAGAGCACTCAGGCCCAATCCACAGTACCCCTCTTACCACGCCGATGCCTTCAAAAGCAAAAACTGCAGTGCCAAAGAACAATGGGTAGGTCTTCCATGAAGCCACCAAGGGGAGATGGTGGGGGTCCGGGATTCTCTGGAAAAGACGACAAAGCCAAGGGCTACTCAGAGATTTGGGCTTTGAAACACAAGTTGAAATCCTCCTCCTACATCCAAGATTTCAAAGAAAGGAAGACACTAACTCACAATCAAGGGAGAACAGTCAACCTTTCTCTGCCTTCGGGTTGGGAAGCCCCTCCATGCTTTGGATAAAGTCTGCCCAGTGTACCATAACTGCCCACATGCTGATGCCTGCATAAGCCCCATTTTCTCCCTTGGTGATCCCATCCCCAGACATTTGATATAAAAGAAGAAACTCAAGAGACAGAAGAATTGAACAAAGCTACTTAGCAAAGAAATGGAAGACCATCTTAAATACTCCAAAAGAAGAGATCAATTAACCATATGCTGAACATATCACAGAATTTTACACACTATATAAAAAGTAAAAGCTAAAGGCAGCCACGGGAGTGCATGCCTGTAAAGCCAGCACTTTAGTATGAGGCTGAGGCAATGGATCAGGGATTCAAAGTCAGTTTGGACTCTGTATGTGAGATAGTAAAGAACATGAAAAACTGACTATGAAATAATCCTGAGGAAATGTTTATTGCTTTAGAGACAGGAGGCTGAGGCAGGAAGATCAGGAGTTCAAGGTCAACCTACAACATATAATGAGCTTGAGACCAGCCTGGGCTACCTGGTCTAAAACAAACAAACAAACAAACAAAAAACCCAACTACAACCTCAAAGTTATATAATAATCATGATACAACTATGCAAACATCCACAGAGATAAAGATGGAAGACATGATTTCTAGACTAGTCTTTTCCTCCCCCACCTTATTCTTTTCATCAATTAGACCTAGAACTATCAAGAAGCACAAGAATGTTGAGGAATGCTGAGGAAAGGTAGCAAAATGATTTTTTTTTAAACACAGAAGTCAAAGCTGAGGGTGAGGGTGGTGGCTCAGTTGTTAAGAGCACATACTGCTCTTGCAGAAGACCCAGGTTCAATTCCCAGCACCTCTACTGAGTGCCTTACTACTACTACTATGTGACTCCAAGAGGATCTGACACCCTCTTGTGGCCTCTATAGAACCTGTACTCATGTGCACATATATGTATAATTTTAATTTTTAAAATTTGACTCTAAAAAAAAGAAGCATTTTAGCATGCAGGATATAGACACAAATAGGTATCTCTGCTCTAAAATGAGAACTAAGCACAAGATCACCTAGGAATTAAATTACTCCTGAGTCACAGATGAAAAGATAGTGGAAACGGGTGCTACCCATGGATTAGTGACCGACAGCTACCAGGTTTATCTATCGATCAAGTGGAGCCGTGAGTAGGGAGTTTCACAGTTCACAGCTGTGGGTGCTGTGTGACTGAGACAGGTGGATAGGACAGCCATCATTCCATTCTCTGAGAGACAGACTGGTGCTGACGATGCTAATCTACAACTCAACCAGGGAAGTGGAGAAAGTTCTACAACAATACTGATAACATAAAAGCTCAAGAAAAATGTTAGAAAGACCTAGGTGGGATAATTTCTTTGGTCTGTCACAAGAGGCCTATCTGGAGTAAACATTTGTTCCCATCTCCCCAGGAAACTGTGCAACATCTAATCTAAATATGCTGTGTGTAAGTAGTGTATGACGGCTCCATTTGATTTCTCATATTCCACGGGATGGGGAAGGGCCTGGGACTGTACCTGGAGGATGAACTGGTAGATTGTGA